CACACACGCACACACGCACACACGCACACAGGGCCCACGCGTGCATACAGCGAGTACTCAAAACACGTGCGCACGTTCTGAGCAGAGGTGCGACCAAACTTTCCACTCTATGACTCGCACGAGCGACAGACCACAGATGCTTCATCCATTCTGGTCAGACAAAGAACTCTAAACTTGCGAGAGTCGCGACAGCTCCAATCCGATATGAAAGGATAATAATAACAATCGGGCACGTCAGCCATCTTTACTGCCCTGTGGAACTCTCTTGCGAGTAAAGCTCTTTAAGACCGGCTTTTTATGCTTCGCGGTTCCTCCCGTAAAGATACTATCAAGACTTTGTTACTCACAGCTCTTCTCGTTCGAAGGTACCGGCTGTGAGGCCACTGTATGAATTAAACAGTTATCCGGAGCGCCCTGGGGTCGGAGGATAGCCTCTTGTTTATTGGAAAATGCACGCTTGGCTGATTTTAGGGTCGGCGGCACACCGCAGGGGTCACAAAAGGTCACGACCTTATTTAGGGCTGCTTTGTGTTTACGTTAGTGACCAGGCATAGGGAATTTGTCTCACACTCACACCGCATGCGTCACTCCACGGCGTCCATGTTTAGTTCTATGCATGCGGGGAATTGTTGTGAATGTGGTAGCACCTATTTACACTATTGCTGCTTTTGTGTTGTTGTTGTTGTTGTTATTGTTGTTGTTGTTGTTGTTGTTTAATTGATGTTGTTGTTACTGTCGCTGTTGTTGTTATTGTGGTGGTGGTGGTAGTGGTGGTGGTGACTGTTCTTGTTGCTGCTACTTCTATTGTTGTTGTTGTTACTGTTGTTGATGCTGCTGCTGTTCTTATTGTTGTTGTTGCTGTTGTTGTTGTTGTTTTTATTGGGTTTTTTGTTATTATTGTTACTGCTGTTGCTGCTGCTGCTGCTGTTGGTTGTTGTTGTTGTTGTTGTTGTTGTTGTTGTTGTTGCTGCTGCTGCTATTGTTGCTGTTGCTGTTTTTTCATTGTTTGAAGTGACAGACGTGAAGATGTTGCTGGTTCTGTGGCTATTACAGAAGGTGCGGTCATTACTGTTTTACTTGCTCTTGCTGTTGTTTACGATACTGCTGGTGTTGGAGATTTGGAAATGTGCTGGGCTAGTGTTCATGTTGTGGGTGCATGTAGAAGTGTTGCTTCTGATGATGATGATGATGATGATGATGATGACGATGATAATGATGATGATGATGATGATGATGATGATGATGATGATGATGATGATGATGATGAAGATAATGATGATGACAACGATAACGGTACGATGTCCATGCAGGTGTGCATTCTTTTTCAATGATGAGGAGCACGATGTACAACATAAAAAGCCCCCGTAACTTTAAGTTTCAAGTACATGCTCGAACATCAATGTAACTGTCGGATATGCCGATTATTATCATCATTTAATTAACCATATACAATTAAAACTATTGTAGAACATATCTAAATTCCTTTCTGAAAGAAGTATTATTCTTTTCTTTGTTTGTCTTTGATTAACTTCATAGTAACTAGCAGATATATTTCTATGAAAATAATATGCTAAATTTTATTCACCTGTACAAATATTCGCGAAAGTCGCTTATTTAAAAAAAGACTTAGCCAGGAAAAAACAAATTTAAAAAAGCCTTAGTACAAGCAATTAATACTGCCTTGGTAATATAAACTCAATGTATTAGATACAGGATAAAAGTGGATTTATTCGGTTAAGTCAATAAATATGTAAATTAATTTAAATTACCCACCAACTCTTTGGCAGATTTCAGAATACGCCATCGGTTCACATGAAGTAGACAAAGTCATCGAGTGCAATGGTACTGTAGGAAAACGGCTAAACTAGCAAAGCCCTGCCTCTTTAATTTATTTAAGCCCAAATTGCTGAATTAGGCCTAATTAAGCCTATTCCCGAAAGTTATTTGATAAAAGAGATGCACTGTAGGTCTGTATAATTATCCTGTCCCCAATGCAACTGGGACCTAGCCTAAAGTTATATTTCCAATATTACCAATCGTGTTCTAATATAATATGGTCACTATAGGATAGCATATTATTTAATCAATGGTTAATAATTAATTGAAAGGGACATGTTAGTTTTTTAACATCTCGCACAAGATATGTCAATAACAATTGGAAGATGTTAGAGAGAGAAAAATACCCCTGGAATTTAGAATCTAAACAGATTTGATCACAGCAAAGATTCACAACAATTCAAACTGTTATGAAGACACATTAAGAAGCATGCACTGACAGTGCAGTTTATCATTCGACTAGAAACGAACCAAAACAATCATGACCATAAATGATCAGTCCTTACGTGATGTAGCAATTAACAAGAAATACAGTAATGATACATGCAGTATAATTATATTTCGTCCAAATATAATATAGCAAATGGACTGATGATGTCTGAATAAATTACTACTTTACTGTGAAGGCTATTATTATTATGGTATAGAATTTAAAAAATCCTTCTTGGACTTCTTTTTCGTTTCGAAAGAAAGTTATCCTTGACTTTTTGGGTCAGTTGAATGCCTTGTAAATGTTGATTAATGAAGCACGTGTACAAGTAAATATTAGTTCAACGAGATAAGGCAAAGAGATACGGGGATGAAAAAGAGAACGAGAGGAGATAGAGAGAGAGAGAGAGAGAGAGAGAGAGAGAGAGAGAGAGAGAGA